TCTTTCTTATTAAGTTTAACATTTTATTGAGCTTGAAACAAAGTTTTTGAAAATGTTCGAAAAAAAAAACAATGTTTTTGAATCAGATATAATCATATAAATGAATTACTAGTCCTTGGCCCTTGCATCGTTGTTCGACAAAATCCGGCTAGGTTCAAAGATTTAATTCTAACAATTAAAACCGGCTAAATGTTTGGATTGAGGTTCAAATTTGGTTCGACCGAATCAAAATTCAGTATTGTATTATATACATGATCAAGATATATAAAATAAAAAAGAGTTTCCATGGATATTATATATGGATACTATGGAAGAATCTCATGGTCGGGACTCTGGACTCACATAGAGTAGCTATATAAAAGGTAAATGTTATGTTTCATCGATGTTGAAGGCAGAGAAACCATAACGTGAGAGAAGAGAATTGATCTTTGAGTCGCAAGGAAGTTGAGTATACAAGATACCCAAAGAGTCAAGACCTTTGATTCTCATGTTCGTGTCACGTTTGATTAAACAATGTTAGGCAAAACACTGCAATATAATCACATGAAGATTCAAAATAATTTAGAGATGCACATTTAAGAAATTATATCGACAGTTAAATAAGATGTGTGAGAGAGAGACTCATTTATGAACTTCACTCCAAAGAAGACTCCAGTATTTTGCTGCAAGTCTATTAAGTGTGGCCACTGGCCAGTATATGTATTAATGTGAACAACCAAATCACAGGGAAATATTGGTAACTGATTGGCTGAAAATTGGGCCTTTTAATGAAAGACTTGAATGTAATTCCTAAACTTCATAGTTAGTGTAAATATCAAATAATGTATGATAAAAATGTATATGTACATCGAAAACCCATGGTTATTCCGAATATTTAAGGATCGAAGGAAGAGTAACAAACAATATTGTTCGGTCTATGTTTACAATGAACCATGACAATAGGGTGAGAGATGTGAGACCTCAAGACTCATAAGTGGTCAATCTGTCCATAAGTGGTATATTCAAGGTTGTGATTGGTTAAGACCGTACTTGAAATTTTTGATCTTTTTATTCAAAACCATATTTTAAAAATTGATCACATTTTAGTGTTTTTGAAAAATTTACCAACTCTTATTTAAAACGTTTAATGTAAATTAATGTTTACTGTCACAGTCTAAACCAATCACAATCCTAAGTAATAAGATAAACCACACTAGAGATCACACTTTACATTTTATACGAGTGGACCGAACAAGTTGATCAACTCTAAAGCCACAAGAACTCACTAAACCACATAGACAACAAAACCGTATCTAATTAAGATTATTTAATTGCGTTCCGTTTATGTTTAAATCTCGGAAGACATCACACCAATGTCTACAATGACCACAATCGTCCTTAATTTCCATGGTACGTGTATATTTATTTTCCGAACGTCAACTTTTAACAATCACCCCAAACAAGTTGAAAATACGATATACACGAATAATACCAACCAATATTAAAAGTTTTCCATAAATTTATCATATTCGTCATAATCTTCTTAGAATAGATCCATGCAAAAAATAGTGAACGGGATTCGTATAAACTTTAAAAGGATAATAAAACCAAAGAAAAAAAATTGTTCATCTTTCACTTTCAGTTTCATATTCTTCTAAATAAAATAATAAAACAGTCTTTCTTTTCTAGTTTGACAAATTAGGAGACTTATATTTGACAAATTAACCACTTTGACTGAGCAATTTAAAGAAAACTTCGCAATCCTAATCCAAATGGGTCATAATCTTTTTTATTGGGAACTAGATTTTATCGTACTGGTATCTTACTGGATTAGATCAAAGATATTTTATTAGGAAAGAAAATCATGAATCCTATAATTTTGTTTTTTAAAAATGAAAGAGAAAGAAAATGCATAGAAATGCCACTAACCATCCACTTCTATGGGCATTTCCGCGAATCAATGCAAAGTCATTCATTTTACTCTCAACTTGCCCCATTTATTTTTCTTTTCCCTAATCACAGATTCTTCTTTTCTTTATTTAATTTAAAACAAACAAAAAACAAAATATAACCTTTAAATTTCTCTCATTTCTTAGCTTCTCCTCATTACCTAAAAGCTCTCCCAAAAACAAAATCCCAATTTTAATGGCAGAAGTTAAAAAATCTAACAATCATCATCATCATCATCATCTTCATGCTCTCTTGATCCCATACCCATTCCAAGGACATGTAAACCCATTCGTACACTTAGCCATAAAGCTTGCGTCACAGGGGATTACCGTCACTTTCGTCAATACTCATTACAACCACCACCAAATAAACTCCGGCGATATTTTCGCCGGAGTTAGATCGGAATCTGGTCTTGACATTAGGTACGCGACTGTTTCTGATGGTCTTCCGCTTGGATTTGACCGTTCTTTGAACCATGACCAGTACCAATCGTCGTTGTTGCACGTGTTCTCGGCGCATGTGGAGGAGCTTGTGGCGACTCTTATCGGAGAAGGTGTGAATGTTATGATCGCCGACACATTCTTTGTGTGGCCGTCGGTGGTTGCGAGGAAGTTCGGTTTGGTTTGTGTATCGTTTTGGACAGAAGCTGCTTTGGTTTTTTCTCTGTATTACCATATGGATCTCCTAAGGATTCATGGCCATTTTGGTGCTCAAGGTAATATCTTCTTCTTCTTCTTTGATTTTACATTTTTTTTTTTCATTAATTATAACGGTAGATCTTTCACATTTCACGAAAAAAATCAATGTTGTAGACTTGTAGTATGGTTTTTTTTTCTTGCTCAACGTCTATAATTTTTTTTTTTGAAATGTGAGTTAGATTTGAAGAAATATTTGCTTCTTGTTTAGGAAAAAAAATTTCGCTGACCATTTCATTTCTTGTCTACCGATGCAATATTCGAATATTCTGTTCTTATGAATAATCACACATATGAATATGATCTGCCTCTTGTGTAGGAAATAGTTACTAATCACATTTTTTTAATATAAATAAGCATTACATAGTCAAATATTGTTTCTATATTTGTAGAAAAAATGGATGCCAAAATTTTGAATTTGCAATTTTTTTATTACATGATATTACGTTATTAATTTAATTCGTCTTGGAAAGCATTATTTAATTACAGTTTTGCTATTGTAATTAAATATTTGAGATATCTCTACCTAGGGGACTCTATTTTTTTTTTTAATCATTTAGACAGATTGGAGATAGGGACTTTTTTGTATGGTCTATGTTTCTTATTGAATTTTAAAAACAATTTATTGATTTTAGGAAAAAAAATGTATTTATGTAGTTGCAGAAAAACACAATATTAAAGTAAAAGCGTTACGATTTGCCGACCAAAACACAAAAGAAAAGTAAAGCGTAACGAAGTAGGGACTTTGCATAAGTCTCTTTTATTTTGTCATATAATGGCGCATGTGAATAATGTCAGGTGTGGTTGGGTCCATAAATTAACTTTCTTATAAGTATCTCTTTAAAAACTATTATCAAACTCGTCCTTCAATTTCCTTAATTATCTAGATCTCCCCTGTTTGTTTAAGTCAAGTGTAGTTGGGTCCCCAAAATTAACTTTATTCAAAAACTATAGCCAAGCTCGTCCTTATATTTCTCTAACTATCTAAATTTAACCCGTTTCTTTTTTTGTTCCTACTTAATTTAGAAACCCGCGGCGATCTAATCGACTACGTTCCCGGAGTTGAAGCAATAAACCCGAAAGACACGGCGTCGTATCTTCAAGAAACCGATATTTCATCGGTGGTTCATCAAATCATCTTCAAAGCATTCGAAGACGTGAAGAAAGTCGATTTCGTTCTCTGCAACACGATTCACCAATTCGAATCCAAAACGATTCAAGCTCTCAATTCCAAAACCCCTTTCTATGCAATCGGACCGATAATACCGTTCAATCTCAAAACCGGTTCGGTCACAACGAGTCTCTGGTCAGAATCCGATTGCACGCAATGGCTCAACACTAAACCGGCCGGTTCGGTTTTATACATCTCCTTCGGCAGCTACGCTCACGTCACGAAGAAAGACCTCGTCGAGATCGCTCACGGGATTCTGATGAGCAAAGTTAATTTCGTCTGGGTTGTTCGTCCCGATATCGTTAGCTCCGACGAGAACAATCCGTTGCCGGAGAATTTCGAATCGGAGGCCGGAGATCGCGGGATCGTGATTCCTTGGTGTTGTCAGATGACGGTTCTGTCGCATCCGAGTATCGGAGGCTTTTTGACGCATTGTGGATGGAACTCGATTCTGGAGAGTATTTGGTGTGAGGTTCCGTTGCTTTGTTTCCCGTTGTTGACAGATCAGGTTACGAATCGGAAGCTTGTGGTTGATGATTGGGAGATTGGGATGAATCTGTGTGATGATCGGAGTTTTGTTGGGAGAGATGAAGTGAAGATGAGTATTGATCGTTTGATGTGTGGAAAATCGAGGGAGGAAGTCAAGGGATCGATCGGACGGGTGAAAATGAGTTTGGAAGGTGCGTTGAGATGCAGTGGATCGTCTGAGATGAATTTGGGTTTGTTTATCGATGGGCTTAGGGCTAAGGTTGGCTTATCAAACGGAAAAGCCTAAAAAACTTAAAAATATATAAATTTGTTATAGAGAATAATGGTATCGATTTTTGTCAAAAATATTGTTTTCGAGAAAACTCATATACGGTTTAAATTCACTTTTCTATTTACAACCAGAAAAAGATTAGATGGAATTTTGCTAATTTGAATTTCTAATCTGTATTAAGTATTTATTATTTTGACCAATAGAAATTGGTTAGTGAGGTCAAAGACTTCATAGTCATAGATTTTGGAAATATATTATTTTTCGGCACAATGTTCACAAAACGTAAAATAGTGATTTCAATTCAACATTTTTGGTTTCGATTTAATTTGGAACCAAAGTTGTCATATTCAAAACAAAAATCAAACCAAGAACTTAAACTGTTTTCATTATCAACTACCAAAATTACAAAAAAGACTAAAAGTAACATTTATCAAAAATCATCTACCTAAGAATTGTTATTCTTCCTATGACAAAGCAATAAACGAGCAGACACATTCTTGTTTAGCCCAAAACGTAGCAAAACATAAACAACAAGACGATACCCAAAAGCCATAGCCAACAACACAAGCATGTTCCTCCACTTTGAGTTTGTGTCTGGAGATATCTGATAATCTCCTCTTATCGCTTCATAACCCGAAATACTCCTCACTTCTCCAACCGCAAACACTTCCCCTAAGTACTCATTCTCCAAAAGACCCTGCAAGTATCAATCAAAACAAAACATAATGATGTAAGAGTTTTTCTCTCCAGAAGAAGCAAAAGATTGTCTTCTTGAAGTGTTTGAATGTGTTTAACCTGAATGGAGTAAGTGTGGAACGAGATGTAAGCGAAAGGGTAAGTCCACACGAGTTTTGGTAAAGCGTTTCGGATCCTGAAGTGACCTGCAGCGAGCATCATGATCACCTGCAAAATGATGATACATAAGAAAGACTAATTCACTTTCTTAAGGCACTAATCTGTATTTACTAATCACCTACAGGTACTAAACTCTCATTTGTAATCTAAGTGAATGAGAGACTAATTCATCTTCTAAAGGCACTAATCTCCTTTTACTAATCACCTACAGGTACTAAAACTCTCATTTGAAATCTAAGTGAGCAATAAGCTCATGTAGTCTCTACTAACTTTAAACTTCTCATTAGCTTAGGCTAAGATTACCATTCAAAATCAAGTCAAATGTAGCATTAAGTATACCAAATCAACATTCAACATTCAATCTTGCCGAAGACTAGCTAGAACAAGAAGATGTAGAAGAAGACAAAACTCACGTGTACAGAGATGAGAGTCAAGGTGCTCCAGTAAACATCTCGCCAAATGCAAGCAATGGAGAGCATCAAGCCTTCGTTAACCAATAGGCACATGAAGAAGTTGAGCACAAAGTACATCAACAAGCTGAAATCGTCTCTTAATCCGACCATGAAGTAGAAGACAAGGCTTGAGGAAATGGACATGAGAAACAAGAACGGTATGCTTCCAAGAAACTGTCCAAGCAGGAAGACAAAAGCACCCGAATGCTGGTTCGATGCTTCACTTCTATATATCTATTCAAAGAAAGATTAGAAAAAAAAGTAAACTTTCAGAGCTCAAAAGAAGATTTAGAGAAAATCAAGAAGAAGACAATGATTACCTTGATTTCTTTCAAAAGCGAAGGTATTCCAGCAATTCCCAATAGTGAGGCAAAGGAGACAAAAACAAACACAGCAGCAACTCTTGTCTGTAAGAGAATATTAATATCAAACGATAAATCTCCCAAGCACTGGTACTCAAAAATGTGAAATGTTGAGAATGGATTAAAGAAGACTTACTGCAACAGAAGACAGAGAGTGTCCCAAGCCAGAATATAATGTGCCAATACAAAGTGTAAGAATCAAGTAGAGGATAAGTCTGAGCCAATAGTATTTCCATTCCCTCGACATAACTAAAAGCGATCTCCAAGTGAGCACTGCAACACGCGTAGCAGCACCAGCTTTTCCCTTGGATTTAAGCTGTGTGCCCTCCTGCAGAACAAAAAGAAGTTATAGGCAACAAAAAGAAACTTAGATATACGAAAAGTATCATTCAAGAATTGGTTACCCTTTCGGTAAGTTTGAGTATCATAGTCTCGACGGAAGCAGCATCTGCAGATGATTTATAAGTAGCTTCGAGAGTTCGAATAGCAACAGCAGTATCCATATTCACTGCTGAAAAGTCCCCATTATCGTCCTGTTGTTTAACATTTCAGCTCATATCAAGAAAACCAATGTTACAAGAAAGAAACACAATCCTATAATTCTCTAAGCTGTAATAATGTACCTGCCAGTTTTTGCACATTGCAATAATCCTATCGAAATCTGTGTTTATAGCCCGCAAGAAATGATCCGAGGGACTTTGCATTATCGGGCATGGGAATCCAGCATTTGAGAAGTGCTTCAAGGAGACAAATCACGTGTAAAACATAGTTTAGAGAGTGATCTTTTGGCCTTGATATGATAAAATCTTCAAGTTTCAAAGCATTATATACATATGTACCTGTAAGCAAGCAAGCGTCTCCCCAAAGAAGAGTGTGTTTCCGTTTGATAAAAGGCAGATTCTATCAAACAAACCAAACACTTCGGTACTGCTTTGATAAATCGTGAATACAAGTGTACATCCCATACTCGCAAGCTTCTTTAGTGTCACCATCATAAGCAGTGCCGAAACACTATCAAGAAAGAAAATTTTTAGAATGCAAGATTCTACAATACAATAACATAAAGTCTTAAAAACAGTTAAGAACCTGTCAAGATGATAAAGAGGTTCATCGATGAACAAGATATGCGGCCGCATAACAAGCTCACGAGCAATAGAGACACGTCTTCTTTCGCCACTTCGGAGTCCCTTCATGTAACAATGACCACCGATCAATTTGTTCGCGTAATCACTCAGAGACATAGCTTGGATCGCATCTTCCACAACACTCCTTTTCTGACAGAGGAAACCAGGAAGCTGAAGCAGAGCAGAATAGTACAGGAACTCGCGAACCGTAAGCGATCCAATGAGTTGTGTCTCCCTCTCAACAAACCCCTGCAATTGCAGCAAAAAGCACATCGCAGAATCAACAAACTGAAAGAAAAGATCAAGAAAACCCAAAAACTGAAAGAAAAGATCAAGAAAGCTAAAAACAATAGTGACTCACGTATGATCCATAAGGCATATGTGACTTTGATCCGTTCACAAACACCTCTCCGTACATTTTAGCTGAAGGAGGCAATCTTCCTATAGAAACACGAGATCATGAGAAACATGAACAAAACACAAGAAAAGAAGAGTTCTTCATTTACAATGTATAAATTTAACAAATACTCAAAATGCTTATGGCATTACCAGCAAGAGCTCTCAAGAGTGTAGACTTCCCGGATTTCGCAGGACCCATGATCACAGTCATAGTCCCGGGAAACGCATAGCCGTTCGAGCTCTTAACCACCTTATCTGAATATCTTCTCTTCCCGTTCATAGTAACAGTCAAATCTTTCCAAGCAATAGAAGCACCTGCGATTTTCCTAACGACATTTCCCGCTCCTCCTCCTCCTTCAGGCATCACAGGAGGAGAAGCCATTGATCCGCTGTTGATTTTCGACAGCGAGGGAGAAACAGGAGTCGCTAAAGCGTCGTTGATAGAGTCTCCACCACCAGGCTCGTCTTCTAGTCTTAAATCAGCATCAGTGTCTTCCCACTCAGGAGAGTCTTCAAAGGATATAGGTTGTCTAAGAGAACCTGGTTTTCTTACGTAGAAGAAGTGACTCGATGGGATTCTACTTGTAGGACTGCTTGCAGAAGACGAAGATGAACGGTAAAGATCAGATTGAGACTGTATCTCCTCCATTTTTGACAATCAAGAATCCAATCTTGAGAAAGTTCCGACCTTTCGTTGTCACTTACAAATCAGTAAAATGTTTATAGTTCCATAATCAAAGGTACCAAAACAAATAAGTTAAAGAACCCAAATTTTCCAAAAATCTTTATAAAGTTTCGACCTTTCTTTGTCACCCGCAATCATTACAATGTTTATAGTTCCATAATCAATCATACCAAAACAAAAATAAGTCCAAGAACCCAAATTTTCCAAAAATCTTTATAAAGTTTCGACCTTTGCTTGTCACCTACAATCATTAAAGTGTTTATAGTTTTATAATCAATGGTACCAAAACAAAAAAGGGCTATAATTAAAGTAGCTAACTTGAATTAGAGTGGATCAGTGAAGCGACTGAAATGGGAAATTTGCCGTTTACTTAAAGTCTAAGCTCATGTTTTGCTTTTCCATAAGCTTACTAAAAATTCAATCTAATGACTAACGAGTAACAAAGAACAAAACGAGAAGTGATTCCTAATTTAGTAACTACGAAAACCCCAGAAAAGTTTTCTGCCAATGATTCACATAAACCCTATTTTTGTTTTCAATTTCTGCATTTTTTTAGAATCTGAAGCAGATATCTTCATTTTTCTCTTTTGTTACTTTGTGACTATTCTCAGGACCTAAACGAAGAGTAACAGAAGCACTGAAGCAGGAAACCCTTTTGGAGAAACACAAGTTATGATGTGATTAAGGAAGAGGAAGAAGACAAACCTGGATCTGAAAGAAGTGGATCCAACGAGAGAGACGCAGAGAGCAAAAAGGGAATTTCTTCTTGAGAAGATTGATACTTGCGTTGTTGAGGAGAAGAGCAAGAGTGAGCTCTCAAGTCTCAACTCTTCGGGTTCTGCAAATATAGAAAGACAATGGATTGGAATTTTTTTTTTTTTTGTCTGAACCAAATGTGTTACGAAAAATAAAAATTCAACTTAAAGAAAAAGCAAGTTTTGTATATGTACAGCATAGAAACAAATCACCAAAATGGTCTTTAATTTACTGACTACTTTTAAGCTTTAGATACACTTATTGATTTGATTAAAGCAACTAACAAAATTATTTATAAACAAAAAAAATTCATATCAATCTCGTAAAAATTAAATTAAAAACTTTTTAATGAGTTTCATGTTGTATAAAAAGTACAACCCCTGAAAGAGTAGTTCATATCGAGAAAAAAAATCGTAAAACCATTGTTGGAGAAGTAATTTATCGCAAGGAAAAATTATAATTCACATATAAAATTCGAATTAATCCGTATAAAAAGTAAAAAAATTGTTTTTTTTTTGGTCGAGAAAAGTAAAAAATTTGTTGACAAACTCATGTTGTATAAAACTACCATTAGAAGAGTAATTTATAGCCAAAAAAAATCCTAGTACGGTATAAAACTATTATTGGAGGAATAATTCATAGCAAGAAATTAAAAATCGTCGTGTACAGAACTTTTTTTGGGATCAATTCTTATAATTAAGTAAAAAAAACTTGTTAATGAACTCATGTTGTATAAAATTATTTGTTAACTAACAAAACTCAATTTCAAACATATTTTTCAATCAACCGGCATCTTGAACTTCTTGGAATGGGATTAGTATTCGACAACACATTCCGTAAATGGAATACCTAGGAAAATTTCTTAAATTTTGACAACAAAATTAAAATAATAATGTCTTTGATTTGTCCTGTTAAGAAAATATTATGACTTATCTAGCGTCAATAGTTTGACTGGTGATTATGAGAGCTTCTAACAAAAGGACAGTCTCGACGAAACTAACTTAAGCTGTTTAGTTTCAGATTCGAAGAGATTATGGGCAAGAATGGTAGAAATAGTTAAAATTTTCGTCTAAGAATGTAAAAAATTAACAACAACATTTCTTGATTCCATGAGTTAAAAAGATATAAAATAACACATACACTTGCATTACATATACTTCTTGATTATAAACACCAAATAAAAGAATGATCAAAACATCATATTCTTATTTGCATAGTTAAATTCTAGATAGAAAAAATAAAATTAGTCAAGGCGAGATATCTTGGACCGGGATGTAGCTTTGGACGAGGAACACTTAGCGGAAACAAGAGGGTGATAATTTACAAACCGGCTCGGAGCGGATCTTGGTCGGAACCCCTTAGGCATGCAACTTTTTACTTCTGTCCCACGGAAAATCTGATTCCTCGGATCCAATTTGACTGTGTCATCGACTGATAAAGACCTCATCGACGTGCTTGGAACACTATCATGTGGAATTAAACGCCCTCCTGCGTATAGGACTATAAGGTTTAGAGTAATGATGAAAATATGAAATCTTGTGTTGAACATTGGGTTTAATCTTTTGGTTTCTTGAGAGAGTTTGGTAGTGATGATGTAAGGCATATATAAGTGGAGGGAGAGATATACATTGAGTTAGGGTTTAGAGTTAGGGTTCATAAATGGGCTCGTGATCGAAGGCTGGAAACAAAAGAGAAGAGAGTAAGTGGGAGAGGACAGAAGCAAAATGGCTGGCACTTTGGAGATTTTTTTTTTAGTTGGGAAGAAGGAAAATTTTATTAATCAAAATTTGATAGAGGGGGAAAAAAAGGGTTGATGGGGTCGGGAAGATTCAGAACAAGTAGGGAAGTCCGTGAGTTTCTGAAATTGCAAATTAAAGTCGAACATTTGTCTTTGCATTTATGAATTATGAAAATATGACACACTCACACACACACACTTGTCTATATTTCAAATATGGTTTGGAGATTCGCCATGAGTTTTATAAAAAATATTTATGTACACGGTTGCATGATTTTCCTGAACTAACTATAAACTGTTGGAGAGTTACATTTGTTTTTTCTTTTATCATAGAAACACTATGAGTCTGTCATTGACCATATAAATAGTTAATTGCATGCCTAATTAATCCATTGATTTGAACCTTAGCATGTTGTTGACCAATGCAAGTAGTGCTGAAAATTGTGTCAAGAGTTGTCTTGTATATGTCCACTTTTAACTTGGTGGAACAAGAGAGAAAATGATCCAATTGGTAACAAGCTGGAATAGATTCTTACTATTAGGATTTGTTAATTTGTTTTACGCATCCTTTTGCCACTTTTGAGGTGCAACGTGTTTATGATCATGTGAAGGGCTTAGGCCATTTCCAACGCAAAGCATTTACAGGGTATCTAAAGAATAAAAAAAAAAGGGGTTTTCTGCAAAAGAAACCGTCACCTAAATCAAATTTGCAACTCAACTCTTCATCTATGAAAAATGCAAGTCAACCCCTTACTTACTGCTCAAACCGCAATACAGTCCTAGAAAATAACAGACGTTATATCATATCGGTGATGGTAGTTGAAACGTGTAATTTTAAAAACTTCATGCTGTTTTGTTCGCCAAAAAAACAGCACCCATAATACAAAATTTATGAACTACAAGCTGTTTTACTACACATGTTCTCTCCAATTTCTCTTTTTACTTTGGTTATTCTTCGTTGTGACAAACTCTTTAGAAATATATTGGTTTTGTTCTTGAAAGACTTTAGAAGCAATGTAATTCAAATAATGCAAATGAGTGATATGTTCATCTTCCAGTCGCGAATCATCAATTCAGTTTTATAAACCACATCAGCTTTTTTTAAGAGAAAATCACATCAATTTTACAAATAAAAAAAATAATGTTGTGGGTTTCTTAATCAGATAGGAAAAATTGATATTGTTGGGAAAATTATTAATCTGAGAAGTGAAGAGGATATTAAAAATTGGAATCAAATCAGACTTGCACCCCGATGGATCTTTTCTCTAAAAACAGATTGAAGAATAAAATTTCATTGTATGCTGTTTGATGTTGGGATCAAAATCAAATCATAGCGATTGGAGAAAGAAGAAGAATGGTAGCACTGTAAAACCTTTTTTTTTTTAAAAAAAGAATGGTAGCACAGAAATCAGAAGGATTTTTTGTTTTTTGTGTCACGGGTAATAAGAATGCAATCAATTTATCAAAAGATTCCGTAATTTTGTGGGTTCGGCTTCAAATCGCCGATTTCTTTGCAAACAAACTCTACCCCAATTTTTATTTTTTCCCGATCGTGGTAGCAACAACAAAACAGTCGTAGAATAACTGGAAGTAAGAAGTAGAAGATGAAGAAGGAAAATCTCTTTTCCATTTATTCCATTGACACAAGTTAAAGAAGAAGATCAAAGAAGAAAAAGCCATTTTCTTTTCAGAAAAGAAGAGAAAACAAAGAAGAAAAGAAAAAAATGGTGTAGTTTTCATTTGGATAAAACGCTGAGTTTCATATTCCGTTTAAAAAATAAACGACGTCTGCTGATTCAATATCATCAATATACGCAAGTGTTATATTGCGGTTTGACCGGTAAGTGACGGTTTGACTTGCATTTTTCAGAAGAAATTGAGGTTTAAGTTGCAAATTTGATTTAGGTGAAGGGTTTTTTTGCAGAAAACCTAAAAAAAAAGGTAGGAGAGAAGTTCAAATTTTTAAGATAATGTTTCTCAAAACAGTTTTTTTTTTTTCTCATCTTCGGATAATATTAAAGTCAATCAAAAGCAGAGCAAGCTTACAAACTTGTTTGGGCCCAAAATAAACCTAATAAACTAAGAACATGCCATTAACACGTGTACATTACGTGTAAACAAAAAAAAACAAAGAAAATACATGTGTTCACCAACGAGGAGGACTTCTGCAGCACCGCTACCACCGCCAGCGTCTTCCACCATCGACGCATTCTAACCTGTAAACCACCACAAAACTGCTTGAATCCACAACTACTGCTCCTTCCTTTGCATATAACCACCATAAAGATGAAAAAACTTCCTTTACACCGTTAGAGAGCATATCAAGAGTAACCAGAGATGAAAATTTATTTTGAATGGGGCACATATTTAATATTTTAATTAATAAATTAATTATTAAAAACAAAATATAAATATAAAAAAAAATATAACCAAACAAAATTTAAAAGTAAAAAACTTCTATAAAATTACCCTACGATTTTCTATATTCTGAAACCTTTTTATTTGTACTACTTAATTTGTCACATTATCAAATAGTTATTTTTCAATAAGACAAACTAGATAATCATATAAAAACTGATCTTTCATTTAATTACTTAAGGTAGTATTCACAATCATTTAATGGTGATTAATGTCTTATATTTTAAACGAGTGTCAAAATTAAGATACATTGTCTAAATTAAAAATGCACACATGGCAAGCTATGAGTAAACGATAGAAAATTTCAATTTCTGAATTGTATTTCTATAATTTATATGTTCTCATGTATTATATTTTTGAAAATGTATAATGTTTTAAAAATTGTTAACCAAATTTTTACTTAATTTATTAAAATATATATATATATATATTATTTTTGTTTGTAAGACATCCATCAAAAATATTTTCATTTTATACTATAAAAACAATAAAATATTACAAAATGTCTTATATACATAAAGTATACAAAATATTAATAATTAATCAATAAAATCCATACTAATTATATCTCTATTGGGCTTATTCTAAAACAGTAATTAAAATAGTTGCTAAGTCAAGAAGTAAAAAAGCAAAACAATATCATTAATTTTCAGTTATTTATAATTTTAAATGAGTTTTTAATTTTGAATCTGCTTTTAATTGTATCTAAATAAATGGGTAAATAAAAACTTAGTTATGTTTAACAGTTTACCTAATGTATATATATAAAAAAAAATCAAAAATAAGTATGGAGCACGTGCCACCAAACTCTCAATGTGCGTCCGTCCCTGGAAGAGAGCAGAATATTCGCCGGGCCACTGCTAAGAACCATGTTTAAGAAGCGCCAGCTATACAGATCTCGCACCGAAATTACATAAGTTAATTCCCGAACTCTCGAACCGACTCCTCTAAAAGAAACCTCTACTTCACGACCTCCGAGATCTATCAATATAAAGTGAAAGATTTTTTTTTTCGGGAGAATATCCAGCATATCCAACAGAGAGGGTTTTTTTTTTCAAATTCGCCTGAAATAAAATGAAAACATGCAAAAGGGATATTCCGATAAACAGAAAAAAAATTCGGACAAAGCCAAAAGTTAGATTCCAAAATTGATCGGAACAAAAACAATCCATCACTCTTTCTCTCTCAAAGATACTAGAGAAAGAAGAGAGAGAGAGCTACTATTTTTCTAAAGACAGAGCATCTCACTTCTCAAAACAGATTTTTAAGATATTGTATCTCACAATTTTAGTATATTTGTTATCTTATGAATGATTCATTTTTTTATTTTAAAATTAAAGATTAATTATTTATTGATACTGTATTTAAATATGATATTTTATTGTTAAGAAACTCTCTCCTTCGTATCTAAAGGATGGAGATGGTCTTAATAGCCTTAAAGCATTAGCATTGGACAGTTTCACTAAAGTTCTAAAAAAAAAAAAAAAAAAAAAAAAAGAAAAACTGATGTGGCCAGACTAAAAGATAAAATCGACTCTCTGTGCAAGGACGGAAGAGGTACATCTCTCATGATGTGGCATGACATGATTTGTCAAAAAAAAAGTTCTTTTTTTTTAAAGTCGATATTTTTTAATAATAGAAAAATGTTAAGAGCTTTTATCATCAATATTTCTTAGTCTATATTTTATTTATATACATGCAGTAACAAAAATACCATATAATTCTTTAATTGTTTGGTTGATCATGTCCATTTTTTCTCTATTATATCACATATCTGATACCAAACTGATGGTTTGTTTTTTTTTTTTTTAAATAAAGTTGTTGTTTCGCGTAAGAAGATTTTACGGTCATCATCATTGGGTAAAGAATTCAGCGGCAACATTTTCAACCAGCAAAGCTATTTTAGGGAGAATGACATCACATCCAAGGTTTCAAGTTAGAAATGATGCCAGGTTTGCAAGGAGGTTAATTGTAACTTATATCTTTATCAAAAAAAAAAGTGTAACTTTAGTAATTCTGTATATTTTTATTTTGCCAACTATGAAATTAACAGGACCGAGCCAGATTTATTTTGGTTCAGTTATCGTTTGATGCCAATTTATTAAATTCAAAATCAAACTCAAAATATTAATATCGTCCTAATCCATCATAGCAATTGTCCAGTCACTCAATCGCAAATCACTCACTACTCTCGTCATAATCCATCTTAACATCTAAGAGCATGTTTTCGCAAAGTTCATGGTGGTATCTAAAAAAATAAAAAGATAGAAAAGTAAAAAAATAAGGTGAGACGGTCCTTAAACAAAAATCCACAAAAGATGTATGGGAAGTTTACTAGAATGAGTCAAATTTGACGTTTTATTACTAGAGTAATCTGTACTATTTTTTAATAAATCGAATATATTTTATGTCTATTCTACTTTTTAATAATTCTTACCCAAAAAATATATTACAAAAATGCTATTATAATATTTTCGAAAATACCATGACAGATTTATAAAATAAATAAGTCTATCGAAATAATCTGCCATTTTTATGATAGGTTTTTATTTTTTTACAGATTTAATTTGTTTGACAGATTTGTTTCACAGATTTTTATCTATGACAGTTTATTTGTTAAACTCTATCATATGAAACAACAGATTTAATTATGGTTGTCGCTAACCATCTTCTGCTCTCTTCAAAACAACTAAACATCTTCTTCTTCTTCAAAACAAACCCCACATTATTTATGATGCAAATAATCTTGGTATGTGGTAAATGGATGCTTGAAGAAAATATATGGTTATTTGTTGTTGATGGTAATAAAGACTTCAAAACTGTAACAATAAATCGTTGTACATCTTATGAAGAATTCATTCAATATTTTACGAAGAGTATGAATTGGATGAGAGATTATACGAGGTTAAATTGAGTTACATGTTTCTGAAAAGGGTTTTGATGAAGTTGCCGCAGAATACAGCTCCGGTGGTTGTTGGAAATTCACGACAATTTAAGGGTTTTTTTGAACAATACAAAGCTTCTCCACGTCGATTCTGTGTCTAAGTTAAAGAGAAAGAAAAACAGAAGTGTGATGGATATAAGCATGAAGGCGAAGATGAAGCCAATGAGGAGAAAATGTCAATGTGTGAGGGAAATCAAGATGACGACAAGGAACACAGATTTGACTGTTGCGATGATTCGGATGGAGCTACATTTGACGACGAAGACTTTAGCTTGTATGGAAAGCTGCCGGAGGAAGAGAACGAGAAGAGCACAAAAATAGTTAAAAAAGAGGGTTCACGACTATAACCAAGGAAACAAAGGGAATCGATCCACATGTAAAACTAGAATTGAATTCACTTAGGGGGATGTATTGGATTAGGAATTTTAAAAGATTTGGTGGGTTTTTATATTTGGTGAGATTTAGGTGAATTTTGAGGATATTTCATGATTTTTGTAAGATTTAAAAATAAAAATAGAAAATTGATTGGTGTTTTGGTAAGCTTTTATTTTTAAATTTGTAATGAATTTTGAGTGATTCAATAATTTCCATTAAGAGGAAAAGATTTCAATAAAAAAAATTTGAAGTTAAACTACTAGAGCTCCGTACGTCTTTGTATCATCTCCGATTATCTCCTCCATATCTCTTCTATCGATTGGAATCTCTTATCTTCCTCAAGGAAAGGAGACTATAGAAAGAAAAAGAAACAGACCTTCTCCTTCTCCACTGCATCCAGCTCATAGTTGAGGACTTTCATGAACTGAAAAATCAAACATCAAACTGGTTTTAAATTGTTCCCTTTTTCAGAAGAGCACATGTGTTTATGTAGAGAAGCGTTTCTAACCTGATCGGTTCTATCCTCTGCAATTACCTCCTTGAATTCTGCATCTTTCAGAATCTGTAGAAACAAGCAAAATTTCGACGACTTTGGTGATTTTTTAAGTGGGTAAAGTGAAAAGGAGTTTCAAATCTGTATACCTGACTGTATGAAGATCATAACCTCGTTGCTTGATATAGTTTGAGAAATCTGGAAATAGGGTTTTAAGACCTCTGCAGTAATTGGTGATGAGAACTTTGCCTCATTGAAAAAACAGGTGCTAGAGGTTTTATTGATCTGGGTATAAAATCTGAAGCCACAGTTGCCACAGTAGTTGTTAACCATCAGGTGCAGAAGAGATTCAGAACGTTAAACAGCAAAATAAAACAAAAGCAGACATATCTTTATAAAGACACTCAGATGACAAATTCAAGAAGAAGTTTTCCACAAAAGCAACAGCGAACCTAATTCGGGAAGTAAAGCCGCATAAAGAAACAAGAGATCATCTATTTTTCTCTTGTAGATACTCATCGGACGTTTGGCACGCCCTCATGAAAAATCTTCTAAAGCACAACTACTAAACAAGCTTAGCTAATCTGCTCCTTATTCTCCACCACTCAAATGCTGATCGACTCAATCATTCTCCACAAGTCAATTTCAAAATTCCGTTAGTAAACTTCAGAAAACAGAAGCAATTTTGTAAACTTCACTAGATTCACTTGCTTCACAGCAGAGATAAATGCTATTAGAGAGAGAAAAGACAGAGACATAGCATGAATAAAGTAAAAAGGAAGAAGATAAATCGTTGCAAACCAATGTAAAATCAAAAGTAAGCCAAATACAAAAAAAACAGGAAAAAAAATTGAAAGCATCAGAAAAGAGTTAAAACCAAAGTAAATTCATTGTTGCTTTACTATCCCATAGCACCTGTCCACATGGTTGCCGCTATATTTGCTCTCCAGTTATTAGCGTTTACTTTTTGCTGTTCTTGAGTACCTTGAAGAACTTCATCCTTATTGAATTCTTCATCATCTCTTTCTCCAACACCACTTCCTTCAACGACAGTTTCTTCATGAAGAAATATGTTTGAACGACATTCTTAGACGGAAGAAGGATGAGAGAAAGATGGAAGAATTGACGTACGATTCGGAGACTGTGATTGCAACACCGAAGGTGAAGACAGTTGATCAAAACGGGAATCTTCAATGAATTGGACTTACTCGTTTGCTTTTCCTCGTCTTCATCCTCATGGGTCTTCAGAAAGTTCCCAATAGATCTGGCTAACCATGCCATTTTCCCTGGATCTCTCTTAAGGGTAATCCAATCGTGATCTTAATTAAACACCATTGATGCTAGAAGGATAAAGAAGAGATAAAATTGAGAAATGATTGATTATAAAGAGAAGCAATTAATTTATCGATGGCAGAGAAGAGAGGAAAGAAACATTTCAACTCAGAAATCTGGAAAGAAAGAGATGAGAGAAGTCGAGGAAGAAGATATACTTTTTTTGTCCATTTTTTATAAAGAAATAATTATTTTGAAGTCTCTTCAAAAAAATACCTCTTTAAGTGTGAATTTTTGAATCATTGTTTGTAAGTAAAAGTGGATGGAAAATCTAGGCAAATTTTTTTCATAACTATTTTGTTTTAAAAAAATGTTTGGTTTTGAATAACAGGGGTTTTGATTTTGTTTTCACAAATTATTGACTGAATAACATGGATTTTTAAATGACTTTTAGTTAATTGTACATAAATTTTATGTTCAATAACAGAAATTTTGGTAAGACATTTACAAATTACTAATTCAATAACAAAGATTTTTAATATCCAATACACCCCCTTAATCTAGTTGTTGGACAACGTTACGAGACAAAAGATGCTTTGGAGATTTTGTCAATCTTACATCAGTTCGATTTCAATGTTGTTAAATCAACACCGTGTTTTCTAATATTTAAGTGTTGGGTGAATGGATGTACTTGGAGAGTACGAGCTTCACCGGTCGGAAATTCTCCCCAATTCTACGTCTGTGTGTATGTTGCAGAACATACATGTTCTATTACAGAGTGTTCTTCGCGTTCTCGACAAGCAACTCTGGAGATATTATGACTATTGTACAAAGATTTCGTTGGTGGTGTTGGAGCTAAAGTTTTGCCATCCATGTTTCTGAGGCATTTAACATGCGATTTGGTATCAGCTATTGCACTAAATTTACCATTTATTTCGATATAAGAACAGTTTTACAGATTTTTTTTTCTATAACTAGATGGAGTACTGGAAGGCTCACATGACACTTAAACAAGCACTGGATTTGGTTAGAGAAACTTTGGAGGAAGGGTATTCTGAATTACCAGTTTACTTACACATGATAAGAAGAGAAAATCCTGGTACATTTACACACCTAGAAGTTGATGAAAATCAAAGATTCAAGTATCTTTTTCTTGCGTTTAGTGCTAGCATTAATGGATTTCCCTTCATGAGAAAGGTGGTGGTCGTTGATGGCACATTTTTGCAGGAAAAATATAAAGTAACACTTCTTATTGCCACTTCCCAAGATGGAAATTTTCGAATATTTCCAATTGCTTTTGCAATAGTCGATACTGAAAATGATGAATCGTGGGAATGGTTCTTCAGGAAACTTCATTGTATGATCTTTGGCGGTGAAGGACTAGCAATTGTTTTTGATAGGTAGAAATTAATTGGTAAGGCCATTGCAAATGTATATCTGATGGCTAGTCGTGGAATCTGTACGTACCACCTATATAAGAACATCCTGGTGCGATTTAAAGACCGTGACACCTTTAGTTAGGTTAAAAAGGCGGCAAACTCATTTAGAATTCCAGATTTTGAGTCCATATTTGATCATATCGATGTCTTGAATCCAGCATTGCATAGCTATTTGCAAAGTGCTAACATGCAACTGTGGACACGTGTTTATTTTCCCGGAGATAGGTACAATATCACTACAACCAATATTGCAGAATCGATAAATAGGATGCTCTCGGATGCAAGGAGTTTGCCAATTGTACATCTATTAGATGCAATACGGTTAATGATGACGCGGTGGTTTTCTGAGCGAAAGAATGAAGCTGGGTTAACAAAAACGACTTTGGCCCGTGGAGTCGAGAAGCTGTTGGAGGTAAACGTTGTGTATTATTAATGGCTTTGCAATATTGTTTAACAAGACCTAACTACTATAATATTTTACCAGATTTGTGTACAATATGCTAAGAAGCTTGCAGTGCAAGCTATAGATGCAAATCAATCGCAGGTGACTGACGGATCATCTTTGCATGTCGTGCACTTAATTGAGAAAAAGTGCTCGTGTTGTAGATTTGATTTGGAAAAATTACCATGCGTGCATGCAATTGCAGCAGTGGAAGCAGGGAAAAAATCGTATATCCTTATGCCATCCTTATTATTGCAAAAATTATTTATATAATGCCTACTCTACTGCTGTGATGCCAAGGGATAATGATTTTCCTGTACAAGATCATGTCGCTGAAAAAGTGTGCCTGCCTCCTGTGGTTCGCCAACAACCAGAAAGACCGAAAAATTCTAGGATTAAATCAGTATTGGAGAGGCCGAAGATAAAAAGAAGCCCAGAAAACAACACACTTGTTCCATATGTAATTAAGTAGGTCACAATTGTAAGACATGGTCATTGTAGCTTTTAAGTTTGTTGGTAGACGTAATAGTACGGTAGACTTGTGTTGGTATAATTGGTGATTTGTCTTGCTGGTAGACGTGTGTTGTGGTACTTGTTTTGAGTAATTGTAGACTTGTCTTGTTTGGCTTTTAAAGTTTTTTGTTCGTCCAAATTGTTGTCAACGTTCTACAATCACGTAGTTGAATTCTAAAAGAAACTCATTTATAATGGTCACAACAAAAACATGCGTACGCTACATATGAAAAGAGAAACAAAACACCATGTCACCAAGATGAAATACAAAGAGAAACAAAACACCATGTCACCACGATCATCACCAGAGGTAAAAAAAAATGTGTACGCTACATAGGCTGATACAAATAAGACACAACACCATATCACCACGATCATCACCGAAGATCTGCTACCTCGTCAAATATCTTAGCTGCTAGTTTCAAACGGATTTGCGGAATGTTGTTATCGTTTAGACCCTCAAATGTACACCCGAGAGAAAGACACTCGATGTACTTCAATGTATACATACCACAATCACCAGGGTCATCATTCTGTGGGATACCTTTCTTCCTGCAAACACTAAACTGCCTCACGCTCTTCTTCCTAATATTAGGAGGAACAAAGGAGTTAAGTAATGCAGAAATCATTAAAAATAATGGCCGACATGAATCAGTAATAGTCTTGTCATCACAATGACTGTATATGCTGTCGTAGACGTATATCTTCCCACTCGGCAAGTCAATGTCCAACACTACCCAATGATCTCCTTCTATGAAATGGCAGACATACAAGTGATCGACATCAATAAACCACTTCTTGTTTGTCACTGCTCCAAAAAGATATTCACCATTGAATATTTCCAAATATTTGCTGGGAAAAGTCCCAAGTCTTGGGATCGTAGTCATTGTAATTAAGAACCCAAGCGTTGACAAACTAATGGTCCAGAAATGCAATCTTTATAGAACGATAAGGACATAGGTCAGAAAGAGACCTTATATGGAATATATGCATCACAGAATTCATTTGCTGGAAAAAAAAAGATAATGAAAATTAAGACTCATATTGGGACAACAAATCCAATGTATTAAAACAAGAGAAGAGCATTACTAACCGAACCACCCAACCAGTCGTAGCTTCGTTCAGGCCAATCTTTCCTGGGAGTAATAATAACATTGTAAAATTCAAATCTTGAATTTCTGACCCGTAGAGGTTGGCCCCTAAAAAATGTTTGCAAGATCATTAATAATACTGCTCGTATATAGAATAATAATGTAATGGAGGAAGGAGGAAAGGATCACGTACTCTTTAAGGTCAATAAAATCCATTAATTTACACACTTTACTCTCTTCCACATTGGCAAACGAATCATAGCTTATAGCTGAAGGGGTCACGTTTTTGACGACACACTTGATATTTGAGCTCCCTGTGAATGGGGGCCGCAATGCCGCAGTCAATTTTTTTTTACGAACAACGGCGTTACCATTCAAACATGTGAGGCCTTGTCCTGGTGTTCCAAACAGATTATCAAGTTTCTGTTTTTCCTCATGGATTTCAGGGTCTGATTCTGTTAAAACTGATTGAGTCATTACACCCTTGTCTCCAATCTTCTTATCTGGTTGCTCAACACTATCCTTTTTCTTAACATGTTGCTTAACAGCAATCTTCTTAAGCTGTTGTTTTTCACCATTCTTCTTTACTTTTTCCGTAGCTCTAGTGTTTTTGTTCACATTCTTCACAATGCGGCTACTCGGGAGATCATCTTGGGATGTAGATTTTATTAACATCCACGACTGATGAAAGGAAAACATGAAAAATCATTGAATAAATAACAAAAGACCAAAAGCTTTTATAAAACTCATATACACATTTTTAACCAGATAACCAAATCCAAAAACTAATTATGAGCTTAATTAATTAACATCATACAAATCAAAACTTTTAAACTGCTAATAGACTAGACCAAAAGTTTTACTAACTACACGTGACCACATTCAAAAGGCCATTCACAAAACACCATATCAGACTACATATTTTAAAAATTTCTAACGTACCGGAGATTTACTTGTCACATCCTCATCTAGATGATCATTAGAGATGGCATCTTCCTTGGTGGCCCCACGTTCGAGACGGTCTTGTAGTTGTCTAACATCCTTTTCAAGCATAGCAATTTTGTTACCAACTTTAACATCAATTGCAGCATCCACTTTAGTCACAATGTTGGTTTCCATAGACTCCACTTTTTGAATTAGTATATGCACTAAATTCACAAGTCCAGAGACTGAATTTTGGTCATCATATGGCATCGGACTCTCCTTGTTGACACTGCCCTTCTCAGTAGCCTACACACATTAAATTTCCAAAGGTATGAGAAACAAGTCTTACTTGTATTTGACACAAAGATTCAATGTTAAAAAAAACAATTTGATATTTTATTCACCTTTGAAGTTTCTTCAGCTTCACGTGATAGTTTCTTCTTTTGATGTTTATACGTCTCAGCTCCATTATCATCAACATTCTTCATGAGATCTACTTTCCTTTTTCTCATACTTGTATTTCGATTTTTCGGAACAGTGATATCCCATGCAGTTGTGTCGAACCGATCATGAATAATATCTTTGATCAATTTATCCAAA